GGCGGGGAGGAGGGGGTGGGGGGGGGGGGGATCGGTCAGGAGGTGTAAATGCGCAGGAGTGAGCGGCTCGTACCCGCAGCAGTTTCGAGGCGGCATCCCGGTCCCAGGAATCATGCTCTCCTGCCACCTTTCCAGAGGGGTGGAGGGGGGCCAGAGGGGTCCCCGCCCCGGTCTCACCTTCGGAAAGGGGGATCTGAGGAGAACCAGGGGGCCTCCCCAGGACGGTGAGGGCTGCGTACGACCCAGCTGTAAAGAAGACGCACATCTATGAATGAGAAGCTCACATGTAAAGCGCCACTGCGGTCCGTTCCGGCCCACAGGGAACAGCCTGAACCAAAGTGAACACAGCAGCTTGATGAGCTCTTACTGAGGACCTGATCTTAACTCTACACATTTTCTCTGCAAAACTCCATTGTGCTCGGCGGGGTGTTTCGAAAGACTTACATTTGATGAGCTTCACCACCTCCAAATGGTTCGAATGCGTCACTAATGTCCCATTGACCTGGGGTTCAACATAAAAATGGCTCATCTTCGCATTGCACCCAGTGAAGCACGGTGACCGTTTCCTCAGCGCAGACGCTCAGGCTCATCCCAGCGCTGCTCATAATGGCACATTACAGACTAAAGACCCACTAACAGGAACATGGGGACGCATTTCCCAACCGAGCATATCTTCAACAGAAGTTGTATGACCATTTCAAACTGTTGTGGAATTACAAGGAAAATGTTTATGATAAAGCTGTATAGTGTTTTTAAAGAAAGTCTTATGATTAAAACAGAATGGAAGATCACAGAATGGAAGTGGCTCTTTCCAAAAGACCCACCTTAATAATACGGTCTCCTTTCTGCACACCGGCACGCATTGCTGCGCCATCTATAGGGCAAAAAGGGAAAGGGGCCCAGTGTGGACAAAGGTCATTGCGAGGTAATGCAAAACATATGAAAACAATGCTCTTCTAGTATATAAAACAAATGACAGGTAGATACATAGGTTCTAAAGGCTTCAAAATGTAATGGTGAATGGACTGAGCCACAGCGCCCCCTGCTGGCAGTCACCCACCTTCTTTGACGAGCTGCACGAACACGGGGTTGTCGCCGCTGACTGTGAGGCCGAAGCCATTGTCGTCCCTCTGGATGATCACACATCTCTGCACCAGCCCTGAGCATGCAACAGAGGTATGTCACACTGTGGAGGGGGAGGGTGCAATGAGCCCGACCGGGAAATGCTGGAACAAAAAAATCACGGCACTCCTGCTATTTACACTCTGGTTGCCTTCGCACAAGGCCCCATGCGGGCCGATGCCAAAGCAAACAGAGGGCACTTCTCTATCCCTTTGTACCCTGCAGCGACGATGGTGCTGCCTGCGGGTGCTCACTCATCAAGACCTTTACTTCACTCTGGACTGTACCAAACTCAGCATGGGGGGGGGGCTTTTACACAAAAACTATGATCCTTTACCATATCATAAAGCCACAATACACTCTCACTCTGAAATGAACTTCATATTTAACTTATAAAATAATTTAATATAAATAGATAACAGAAGGGGGGGAACCTGTAACGGGGCAAATAGGTTACTCCCCAAGCAACATGTCAGTCAAACCAAAATGAACTATGGGTAGATTAAACCCTACAAAAACGTTTAGATTATGTTCTCCCTGCAAAGGGCTGATGTGGAGCTCCAGCTGCAGCGCCAGCGTGGGCCATTCTCCAGCGGCAGGGGCCTCCGAGACAGACAGGGAGTGGCCACATGGCCAGACTGAGTAAGGCAGACGCTGGGATCTGGCCGCGGCATCGCGGCTACGCCCATGGTGCGAGTGGAGAGTCATGGGATTTTTATTATTATTTTTTTTTTTTACATGGTGGCCACTCTGAGTCAGGAGCTAACTTTAATGCTGCGTGGCGAGTCGGGGGGGGAGGATTAATGTTCCCTCTTAAGTTTCATGCACTTCAGAGAGTGAGTGAGCGTGTGTGTGTGCGTGCGCATCACCACTACTCCTTATTCCAAGCACATGGGCTCCCTCTGGTGGCCATTTCAGTCATTAACCCGGTCGTCTTCCAGCTATTACTCACAAATTTCATAATTACACTGACAAAACACAGTAATGTGACACAATCCATTAATTTTAATTTGAAAATAAGTTCTGCAGTGCTTTTTATCCCCCTCAGTAGCACAGAACAAAGACACATGACGTCTTTATATGACTAATGGTCTTTTCTTTTTTACTGCAGGGGTTACCAGATTTTAAATGAAAACTTTGCCACTAATTAACTGCATGTAGCCTCACTGTGCTTTTGCAAGCCTGATGGGTGAATTTACTATGTGCTATGACTTACAGTCTGGCTTAATCCTCTAAACCAGTATTTCCCAATCATGTCCTTGGGGACCCACAGACAGTCCACATTTTCACTACTCGGAGCTGGGAGGAAGCTAAAAGTGAACTGTCTGGCAGTGAGGTCAGAGGAAGCAAAAATATGGACCAACTGTGGGTCTCTGAGGACCAGATTGGGAAACAGTGCTCTAAACTAACCATCTGTGTGCTAGTTAAATCACCCAAAGATATACAATGCAGACAAATATAGCCAGTGGGTGATTTATGAAGCTCAAATTGCATCATATACAGATGCAGGTTTGCCCTGCAGGGGGCAGCAGTGAATTACACCAGTGTTGCCTAACTCAGTATTCAGGGACCCCCAGCCAATCCACATTTTTGCTCCCTCCCAGCTACCTGCCAGACAGTCCACATTTTTGCTACCAGGAGCTAAGAGGGAGCAAAAACCTGTACTGTCTGAGTCTCAAAGGACTGGTTTGGGAAAACCGATATACACAACTATTGAAGACTGGGGAAGCCCCGTTCCCACGTGGCCTGTTCTCTAGGGAGGCGATGTCGGCTCCCACCAGAAATATAGCCAAGCATCCGCCTGCCATACGCACTCCCAGCATTAAAAGGTCTCGTCACTCCATTAACCAACGGAATTTGAGTTATACTAAGAAGCAGTTTAAGAGTAAATTAGTGTCTGCGACACTGAAAAAACATTGTACTACAGAAACAAAAATGACCTCTGTGGGCATTTCGATACGTAATAAAAATCTGAAACTACACAAAGCTGACACAGCTGGGAGGCACCTAAAAATATCGCCGGGTTGGCGATTTAGCCAACAGCTCCAAAAGAGACGGAAAATGAGATCGGCGGCAACTTTCGGCACATGAGTGTCAGTGCGTCGAGTGACAGGTCGCGGAATCTCCCGGGGCAACGCTGCCGGTCATCCAGGGGTTAAAAGGAGGCGCACCTCGCGACGTCCAGCACACGGCCCACGGCACTCGGGCCAAGAGGTGACACGATGACATTTTACACACCCCCGCAGCTGGGGTAGAGCAGAAGCCCTGCCAATCACATCACCGATCTTGACAGCCGGAAAGTCCGTTACCAGAGTTACTCACTGGCATGCAGAAACAGAGCAGAGATTCAGCCTGTCACATGGCTGACCACACACACACACACACAGATATACAGACACACACACAGATATACAGACACACACAGCACGATATATACACACACACACACAGATACACTTACACACACACACACACACACAGATATACAGACACACACAGCACGATATATACACACACACAAAAACAGATACACACAGACCTACCTGTAGAATCTAAGTGCAGAGACCTCTGGTCAGATAGGTGGTCTTGGTTGAGGATGCTACCAGTCCTGGGGGAGGGGGGCATAAAGAAAAACAAATAAAAGTCTTTATTCCCAATGAATAAGAACATGATGCAGTTGCATAGAGATGAACGCCAGTGACCTGGCTAAATCCCGCCTCCTTTCCATCACACCCCATGTAATCAACCTTTCCCACAACACGCGGTGAGTATCAGGATCCATAATGACGCCATGTGTACATAGGTGAGGGGGGCATGGGCACCGCCTTCCTGCCCCCGCAAGAGATGGGGGAGGGCAGATGGAGGCCAGCTCGTAATGTTGGTGGTGTTGGGGGGAGGGGGCAGATACCGGGGCCCTTAATAACTCAGGGTAATCAGGGGCTCTAATTGGGAATGAAAAAAAGGTCAGTAGGAAGGCGGGTGAGATTGCAATCTGTTTACATCCCCATGTGCCTGGGGAGGACAAGAATAAAAATCTGCCAGCATTCAGACAGCATGGGGAAATTTTGAAGCTGAATTGCTGGGTCTCATGGCATTGGCTGCACAATGCATAGGTCATACGCCGCAGAACCCCCCCCCCGTGCGTTTCCATGGCTGCAAGCTGAGGCCACTCCGACGTTATGGAAAGTCTCCCTGAGCGGCTGGAACACAGGCCCCTTTTCACAGTGCCCAGGAAGAGCCCGGAGGTCCCTGCTTTCCGGAAACACCCTCCTTCACACGCGGATCCCGCCCACCGCCACGTGTTAACAGGCTGCCTCAGCTGCCTGCGCGCCGAGCGCATTTGTTGCTAACTGAATGCTGGGCAAGAGGGCGGACGCGGGAACCCCGCGCGTGGCGGGAGGGAGAACGCGGGAACCCCGCGCGTGGCGGGAGGGAGAACGCATGAACCCCGCGCGTGGCGGGAGGGCGGATGCGGGAACCCCGCGCGTGGCGGGAGGGCTGACGCGGGAACCCCGCGCGTGGCGGGAGGGCGTACGCGGGAACCCCGCGCGAGAACAAGAGCAGCTCAAGACTGTCCACCCACCCAACCCCAACCCCAACCCCTCAGCTGTGACCTGCAGCTTCCGCTACAATCTCATCTGCCTAACCTCTGCGTTACCCACACCTCCGTCTGGCACCTCCAAATCAGGACTCCCCAGTGAGGCTGGCTCCTGGCACACAGGAGCATTCAGACCCGGACGCCTTTCTATACTGTCTCGACCCCATGCAAACTGTGCGGTCTGAACTCTGCTCGGCCGGACGTCTATTCAGACCCACCAACCGAAAGTACTCCTCATCTGCACTATAAGATAACTGCTGTTAATGAAAAGCAGCCTAATTACTCAGCTGTTTAAATGCACCTCTCAGCACATTGGGGTGTTTTCTTGCATTTAAATTGTTTATTGCAAAGTAATCATTCATTTCAACTACAGTTATGACTAGAGGCTGAGTTATTTCGGTAAACACAAAGAAAGTTTTAACTTTAAGTTAGTAAATACTTCACATTTTACTGTGATTTTGCCTAAAATCCGCATTTAAATTTAGTTGTCAGGCATTAACAAAGAGATTATATTGAGGTTCTCTTGTGATTATTTTACATACAACCCATTGGTTTATTTTGACACAAATCTCTAAATATTTATTAAAAGCACTGTCAAAATAAAATGGCATCAACATTTTTGCTTGGTGAATTATTTCCGTTTCCCAACATGATTGTTAAACTCTGCTGAGAAATTCCCTGCTTCATCACAGCAATGTAGCAATATTACTTGGAGAAAACGAGCTATTAAACATTTAAATAAATGGTTCATCGAGAAAGTTATGAAACACCTAAAATTAAATGTTAAAGTGAAAGGAAAATGGTAACACTGTACATGATGTCGAACAACTACTTAGAAATAACTTACTACTGACGTACTCCAGCTTCCCCGTGACCCAGATGGATTGAGCGGTATAGATAATGGATGGATGGATGGACTACTTAAGTACAAATTATGAACAAATATAGTTGCTACCAGAAATAAAAGATGCATCACGATTCATTAATGATAAACAATTATGAGATCAGTATTTAACCTGTGTTATTCATGGCTTGTTCCCTCAGTTCTTTCAGGAGGGAGCAAAAACGTGGACTGTCTGTGAGTCCCCGAGGAACAGACTGCAAAACACTGGCGTAGAGACACAGCACAGGGCCAAAGCTACGTCTCTGCGGGCCTCCTGTGACCTCTATCTGCAGAGTCTTATTTAGCCACAAAGCCATACCATCATGGGATGGAAAAACATGGGTGGAGAAGCTGAAATGGCACAGGAGGGTGTCACTGTCACCATGGCTGTGACCATGCAGTGAATGCTGGGTCGACTACCGACCAGCTCCCCCTATAGGATGGTGACGGCATGCATTGCACTAGATAAACCCTGCAAGAGGAGTAGTCTGGGGGATGTCAGGAAAAGGCTGACTTAGGAGCCCCCACAAATTCCCAGTTCTGCTAGGGGGCAGTTCTCACAGTTTGGCGAGATCTCTAGACCCAACCCATTTGAAACCACCCACCCCTCCATACAGATTAATGGTGAGTCAGACATCTCCCCCGTTTCACAGAGACTCCCCAGACGTGATGCAGCAGATAAGCGCCAGTATCACCTGTACTACTGGAGCCCCCCCCCCCCGTGCACTGCCATCCAGGGGCTGCATGAAGCGGCTTGTCCTGGCATAGGGAGCAGGCGGATGGACCGTACCAATGCAATTTTTATGGGTGGAAGTAACAACTTATCTTTAAGTGAATCTAATTCACTGAATTTCCAGTGAAAAAAAGCTCTATGGCTATAGAGATTATTTACAAAACGGGGATTTACTTAACACAGACAAACAGAAACAGACACACACACGACACACACTGTTCCAGCTAAAGTAATATATATATATATGAACCCATATTATATATATGTAGTGAATGTATATACATGTCTGGATTTGAGGTGATCTTATTTTGGTCTGGAGATACATGAAAGATATCTCAGAGAGGGAGACAGGACGCTCTGAACAACAGGTGAGAGGGAGACGCACTTAAGGTGTCAGTTTGGCAGGCTGACAGCGCAGGGATTAACGTGTGGAGAAGTGGAGATGTTTCACACGCTGCTTTAGGGCACAGGAGGAATCCGGCATCATGGCACACGAGCCGCTGCACGCCGACCCCTGGCGCATGGATTTATGACGAGATGATGTTCACTAGAACAGCCAGTCCGACACTGGCCTGGTGAGTTGACAGGTGGTCCCCAGTCTGAGTAAATGTGAGTCAAAGGTGACACACTGGAGGAATCCACTTCATAAAGATTAACCCTTTACGTGAACTGACAGCAAACACAATCAGACTGCTGTCTGGATGGAGAGGCAGAATCCAGTCGACAGTCCAGACTCGGCCTCCCCGAACCCGGCCTGCCACTTCCTGGTGCCGATGGCTCAGGAAGATCCACATATGTGACAAACTCCCCGCAACATCAGGACTCATTTTTACAGGCATGTTTACCACAAGGTGCCAGAAATGCAGCCAGGGACAGCGCCACCCGGCTGCATGTTTGAGGCTCTGCTCAGTGCCCCTCTGCAAGCTGCTTTCACCACATCACTACCCATCATGGCCCACCCCCCATGCCACCTTCAGCTTCATCCTGAAAACACCTGCCTGCACGCAGAATTCCCAGACAGGTAGGTTACCTGATTCCGCACACACAGACACACTCGCACACAGACACACTCGCACACAGACACACTCGCACACAGACACACGCGCACACACAGACACACTCGCACACACAGACACACTCGCACACACAGACACACGCGCACACACAGACACACTCGCACACACAGACACGCGCGCACACACAGACACACTCGCACACAGACACACGCGCACACAGACACACGCGCACACAGACACACGCGCACACAGACACACTCGCACACAGACACACGCGCACACAGACACACGCGCACACAGACACACTCGCACACAGACACACGCGCACACAGACACACGCGCACACACA